GCGCGTTTTAATTAAAGACTAAGAGGATTGGGAAGGCCATTCCTACATAGATATCACCATACCCAGTTCTAGTCCTCTACCACAAATATATGCAGTTTGAAAAATTTGGTTTGTATGGGAGGTGCCACGCCCCCTTTCTATATCGAAACTTTTTTTAGCTATAACCATCCTTGGAAAGCCTGCAGTAGATTCCGAAATTTCAAAAAAATCGGTACGGACTTTCTCGAGCTTTGCGAACAGAAAAAAACGCCTTTCAAAATATATATTAGTACAGACTAGCCAAACTCTGCTTGTTTTGCGGGTTAAAACACTACTACCGATGAAAATCGATGGATAAATAAACAAGTTTGCAAGGGTTAAGTGAAAGTGCAATAATTTTTCGTAAGAAATACTAGCAGGAAATTTAACAAAGCTATTGCAATTCAACAGTAAAAAATTTTTTTATTATAAATTTTTCGATTACTTTTTAAATTACTTTGAGGAATGGAATTGGAAAAAAATCAATTACATTTTCAATTCCTTTCAAAGGAATTGGAAAAAAAATTACATTTTCAATTCCTTTGAAAGGAATTGAAATAAAAGAAATTACATTACTAGCACGTAATTTATTCCAATTACAATATGAAATTCCTTGTAATGGAATTAAAGAAAAAAACAATTCCATTTGAAATTACTTCAAGGAATTGAAAAAGTAATCGATTCCTTTGCAGTGAACTAAAGAAATGGAATCCTAATTACAATTACTGAGGAATGTAATTGTAATTGTAATGTAATTGCATTTACCCAGCTCTGTATCAGTATAGCAGCTGATTTGATTTTTCTTTTTCAAATTATTTGTTCTCGAAAATCTCAAATATTTTTAATTTCTTCTCACAAAAATTCTAAATTGTTAAAATCTATTTGCATTTGAAACCTTTTTCCATACAAAACCAGTGCAAATATGTAGGTAGTTTTTCAAGTTTTATGCGGCATAAAATATTTTACCTCTATCTACTCAAAATTGTTTATCAAATGTAAAATTGAAATAATTTGTATTACAGATAGGTTATATTAATAAAATATATATATTAGCCAATAATTTACTATTTAAAATATATTGACTACCTTTATTTATAAAATGTGTGTACACTATAATGCACAATATATAAACCAAAATCATTGGTTTATTAGTTTTCGCTTTCAGAATCTTCGCTGATCCTCGCAGATTTAGAGGGTAACAGCAACTTTATTGTGTCTCTCTCAGTCAGAAGTTGCAGGTTTTTGTCCGAAGTTTTTCTTCCTGCAAGTTCATGAAAAGTGTCAAACGATAGGCAGGGTGGCATTTGTAAACAAAAAAAACAGAACCTTAAGCGCCACGGATACAATCAAGTAAATACGTCAAGCATTGCATATGTGTGAGGTTGCCTCGTGTCTTGCCCGCAAACGTTCAAATAAACTCGTCAATTCAACAAACAATTTATTTTTCTTATCCGCGCATTTGCTCACCACAATGATCAGAAGGCAATTGCGCTTATTGTTTGTCAAGCGTAACGCGAGACGGTTGATACAGATATTTGATCGTCTCCACAGCGCTTTACATAAAAAAATGGAAGCAGTTACAAGAAAAGTGGTTTTTCGCGTTCCAGGTGACTTTTATTGTTTCGCTCTCGCTCCTCTCTTTCAAGAAAGTAATTTTGCTATTTGACAGCTTTACAGGTTTTTACACAAAGTTATTTGGAACGCAACTAATATATGCAAATATTATGCTCAGTAACCTTAAAAACTGCGGAGCTTTTGCATACGCCGCTTTTGCATACACAGCAATCTTAGTCCCTCACAGTAATCTTGATACAGCCATCAAAATTATGCAGAGGAAACTTTACGTAATTACTAGATGGTCCCACGATAATGGCCTTTCAATAAATGCAACAAAGACCAAGGTGATGCATATTAGACCGCCGCATATTGCTACTTTAGATATAAGTAAGGGTAATTTTCCATAAATATGATTGCCTGCATGAAAACAGTAAAACATGCGCTTGTACTGAAGTTCTGGAAAAGGTTGATAAATATAAATACCTTGGGGAGCTATATAGGACGACCACTTAAAATGGAATCCACACATATGCCATCTTGAAACGAAACTCAGGTCGACTTCATACTACTTGAAACATTTAAGCTTCTGTAGTAGTTATGCAGTTCTTCAACGGAGTCTTATTTAAGGTATGGTTTCACAGCATGGGGGGGCCTCAACTAGTTGCAACATATTACATCAAAGTCAAAATTATATTTTGAAAAATTTAGATAAAAAGAATAAAATGTACGAACCGCAAACCTTATTCAACAAAAAGGTAGGCTAAAAAGAAACCCATTGGTCACAATCTGGGCACCCGAAGAAATAAACAAAATAGACTTATTGTACCGAAATTTCGAAACAATTATACTAAAAGAACTCTCCCTGCACAACTTCTTAAATGAACTGCCAACAAACCTCACTAATCCGCCCAAGAGGCCTAATAGAAAATTAGTTTTGAAACACCATTTCAAAAGTTTATTGTAAATGATCGCTGTCGGGATGTGTATTAATACCAAAGTTTCTCTGTAATTATCCTTTGATCTAATGTTCCATACAAACCCATGGTTGACATGGTTAACAAATAATTAGGTATTATTATTGGGAATCTCCTGAAGAGAAACAGAGTTCTCCGGTCGAAATATATTGATTTCCAAGAATTCGATACCATTTCTACGGAAAGTTGTTTTTTCCCCATATAAAATACATGGAAAACTTTAAGCGCTTTGAGCGACCTCTAAATATTTTTTAATTTCAAAATAGAAAAAATAGGGGTATATTTTTTCGGTATAGAACAATCCTAACAATCCTAGGGGGTGAGAGCATAAAAATTCCGACTTTGCTTTTTCACATGCATTTTTTTTTTTTACCACCCTAATGTATATGCACTAACCAGAATATGTTTCCGTAATTTTTTTTTTTTTTTAATATTTGCCATGTTTTTCGTAATAAATTTCTTTCGTTAATTTTTAATAGAAATATACATTGACGAACAAAAGTATTGGCACAGTGAACTTTTCGCAAAATATGCAAAGTTGTTTATTCTAATTTATTTTCGATAATTTTTTATAAAAATATAGTTAATTTTACACTAAAAAAACATAAAAATAAAATCTCTAAACTTTGTGCAAAACTCAGGAAAATTCATTAAATTTCACACTAATTTGCAACTTTTCATTCAGATCATCAACAAAAATAAAATTCTCAAAAATCAATGGTTGTTTATAGCTTGTACTTTGCATACTAAAAAAAATTCTAAAATTTTTTGTTTAAAATTGCAAATTTTGGTGAAAATTTATCGAATT